AAGGCAGGCGCCAAACCGCTGCACCACCCAGGGATCCCCTACAGGATATTTTCTTTCCCAAATAATTCAAGCTATAGAAGAGCTGAGGTCTCTACAACAAATACACCTCATTAAGCCCTGTAAATAACAGTCCTCTTTAACCTAAAGAAAGGCTCTTTTCTTTTTAAAGTGAACTGCTATTTGTGCCCTGATCATGGAATTATGTAGACTCCAAGTACCTACCTTAATTTTCACTTTTTATATGGATCAGAAAATATTGTAGGTGGCCTTAGAGGAAAGAAGAAAGTTTTGGCCTTACTTTTATTCCTTGCTATGCTTTAAAAATGCTCCAGGAGATGCCTTCCATTGTGTGTACTTGAATAATAGTTATTATTGACTATCTAATGAGTCCTGTTTACTTACTGCCACACCGAGTACTTCTTATTTTGATTAATATTCAACATTATGCCATATACATGTTAGATAATTTTAATATACATTGTAAAAATGAGATACTTGAGACCCTAGGAGGCTAAATAATTTGTGAACTTGTGCACTCTTTTTAATTGCTTTACTTTCTCTACCAAGCACACTTGAAGAAAGGCATTAGGACATTTGTTTAAGGTATCTTTGTGGGTTCTGACTTCGAAGCATGACCTTTGCTCCAAACATATAGCAACGTTAGGTAAAATCCCAAGTCAGAAAATATAAAAGTCACAGCTGAGCTCATAATTTATCATCTCAGTGGTCCACAAATCAAAAGAAAATGCAAATGATGAGTTGTAAGCTGTGCTGAGGGCCCTGGAGGTGGCCAGAAGGCCAGTACAACTTCTTCTAAGGTAATAAGAGATTGAAGTCATTCTACACTAGGTGGAGATCCAGAGCCAGTGTTATAGCTTGAAGCCAGGACATAGAGAAGGACTCATCTGCTTCTGAGCGAGGATGAAAAACCTGCTGCCCACTACTTGAGACTATAGATTTGAGGTCAGGAAAGGCTTATATGGCAGGAAGAAAGGGACATGGCTGGTAAACTGGGAATTGAACCAGTCAAGTCACTCATTGGTTCAGTAATGTGACTGATAATAATCCAGATGTCAGCACAATGTAGTATTTGAATTTCCAGTATGAAACTGATTATATATGGGTGATTCTGGGTACAAAATGAACACAAAATCATTTGTAAGAGAAGGATAATGAGAGATAGGGGTTGGACGTAGATCAAAAAGCTAAATAAAACCAAATAAAAATCTTCCCACTTCAAATGAACCTGCAAAACAAAATTCCAAAGCACAAAAGAAAGCCTAAGACTAGGAAAGAGCCAATGAATTCAACCACTGAGAATAAATTTGACTGGAAGAAATTAAAATATTGAAACAGCCTGGGAGAGCATATTTTGGGTGCTCAAAATATTAACAAAGGATTGCCATTCATAGAAAGGTAGGAAATCCTGAAATAAAAACAATCAGTGATCTAGTTATTTATTCACAAATATTTATTAAGATCATACTATGGTCCACACATTATTACGGGTGCCAGAGATACAGGAATGATCCCAAGTAAATAAAAACCATATCCACATAGACAGTTCATGTTCTTATGGGGAGGTTACCTATTAGTGGTAGAAATGAAGTAAGAGGCAGAAATCTCAGAAGTGAAAGATAGTCACTGAAATAAAATTCCCAGTAGAAAATACAAACTCTAGACTTGACAGTGACAGAATTTTTTTCATTTGGAAGATATTACTTAGGAAATCACCTAAAATGCAGTCATGGGAAAATAAGATTTTAAAAGCATGTGTGTGTGTGTGTGTGTGTAGAGAGAAAGAGAGAGAGAGAAAACAAATCCGATTATGTGAAGAAATAATAGCTGAGATTATTTTATAATTGAAGACAATACACCTCACATTGAAAAGACACTCTGAGAACCTGGTTTTATCTGGATAAATAACAATAAATCAATTTACCTCAATGTGCCTAAACACATTGAGGTAAAACTTCAGAACATTGAGGATGGAAAGAAAATCTTAACCTATCAGAGAAAAAAATATAGACTAACCCCCAAACAAAGACAACTAGACTGAGAGCAAACACCAAGAGCAGTATAGAGGGGGAAAAATGTCCTGTAATCTGGATTCCAGAATTTAATGCTGACATATACCAGACACACTGATCAAACATATTAATAGAATTTCCGACTTTTAAATCTGGATATTTTGAGGAAGCAAGCCTAGAAAGAATGTGTGGGCTTAAAACAAGAAAAAAAAAAGTAAAGAGGAACAGAAACTTCTAAATGTCACCAAATTTAACTCTTGCTATAAAAAGTAATAACTAATTTCTATGTGAAAAAAAGTCAAGACTACACAAAAGAAAGAAATACAAATGCACAAAAAAAAAGAAGAAATATAGATAGCCAACAAATATATGCAAATTGAAAATGAAAACACCAAAGGTTGAAGTTCTAATAACATCAGTGTGGACAAGAATTGGAAGAATGATCACAGCTATTTGGTAGCTCCATTTGGCACAGCTGTGTGGGTGACTTCATGAAGCATGGAAGCAGGAAATGCCAGCTTCTGAGTGATATTTGCCTTGAGGAGGGAGAGTTTGGAACAAGGGTGGGGTGGAGAAGGGTGAGCAATAAAGAGCTCACCTGTATCTGTAATGTTTCATTTTTTTTTTAAAGGTGAAGCAAAAGTGCCAAGTGCCAGGATCTGTCAAAATATGGTGGTGCCTACCTGGATTTTCATAGTATTCGCCTAAATCTGTAGCTGTGTAATTGAAATGAAGAGACACTCAGAACTTTCAGGAGAACACGAATGTTTATGCACAGTAATAAGGTTTATAAGACACCCAGTCTTTTGGTAATGAGGCCAGTTAAAACCCAAAGTCTTTGCCAGGATCTATAAGGCCCTACTAAAGACTCTGCTCCTTTGACTTCTCTCAGTGGCTCACTCATTCTAATCTAACCCCAGCCCTATGGTGTATTTTTGTGCCTCATACAAGTCTGGCTCATTTCTTCTTCTCTTACCAGCAATCCTCTTAGATTGTTCTTCTCTCTTTCTGATACTGGGGAAAATTAGAAAATTTAAAAGTATCTCAAATGCCTTTGATTTTGCTCTTGATCCAATGCTCTTAATAGATATTGACTCAGCCAGCTGAATGAAACTATGTTTTCTTGGCACTTAATGGATGTTCCAGGTTAGAGTCATTTGTGCCACCATAACTCAGTCATTTTGAGCAGAACACTGCTTGGGGTGAGTGGAATCCTCATATTCCTAGCAGCTTTATGTGCTCAGGAGCAACAGGTAGCTGTGGGATTTAGGCTGAGGGAATAATTTTCTATGGACTCATGTACTCTTTTCCACCATATTGCTTTTTCTATCAAGCACACTTGAAAGGCATGGGAACATCTGATCAAGGTTATCTCTGTGGGTTCCAGCTTTGAGGCACCACCCTTGTTCCAAAATGGTACATGGAAATCTTTTGGAGTTCAAAAAATAATAACCAACTTTGGATGCAGAGCTATTATAAAATTTTTGTTATTGTTCAATTTGTATTTGAGACATGAATAAGCTAATTCTCAGTAAGAATCAGCATAACTTTCATGTTGGAAGTTACTCTTAACGTTTTCCTAATTTAAAGTGTAAAACTAGATTAATCCATGCTAATTTATCTTAAAAAGAAAGACAACACCAAACGTCATTACGAGGTACAATGCTAATGGGAATAACAGTGTGTGTGTTTGTGTGGGTGAGTGTGCATGTATGCGCATGTAGAGGGGGACTCTGGGCATAAAACCATCTCTCACAGATTTTGCCCTCTACTACTCATGCGTTTGGTAATAATCTGACAGTATTTTGAGGTTCTAAAAGGTGCTTCAAAACACTAGCCTAATCAGTTTTATTTCAATATCTTGTCTGACAATCATTCTAATATTATGGAACTTACTTTGGTACATCAATATTAAGTGTTCACATCTTGAAAATAATTTTGCTTCATCAAAGATTGTAGATTAAATATAACTTAAATGTATCCTGTCTTCATGGGTCATTTACTTACAATTTCAGTTTAGTATTGAGTCAAGAGCTAATAAGCAAAACAGCAATAATTCTTTGGAAATTGGGTTTAATTATTGCAGGCCACTAAGATTCAACTTCGTGTATTAAAATGGTACCACAATGCATCCTGGTGACAAAAAGAACAAGTGTATCCTTGAAGAGGGTCTTTGGTGACTCCATTTGGCCCAATCTGAGCATAGTTTAGTGGATGAAATAATTCAACTCAGTACCCTGTTTAAAATTAGTTTTTTGAGTATTACTGTTATAATCTTGCACAATAAATGAACACTAGATACTGTTTTCCAATAGTCACAAGAAAATATATTTCTTCAACTTTTATAATAATATTATTGTAAATACTAAAATAAAAAATATTTGTGTTATATACTATTCTAAGCAATTTATTTACATTAATTCATTAAATCTTGTAGCAGGCTTGTGAAATAGAAGCTGATATTATCCCCAAATTACAAAAGAGGAAACTGAGGCATATACAAATTAAGTAATGTCTCTGAGGTCACACAATATGTAATAAAGCTGATGGTGGCTTTAGTCATTTTTTTTCTTTTTCTTTTTTTTTTTAATTTTTAAAAATTTTTGTTTGAGAGAGCACACATTCAGGCCTGGGGATGGCGTAGGTGGAGAGGGAGAGAGAGAGAGAGAGAATCTCAAGCAGATTGCCTGCTAAGTGCAGAGCCCGAAGTGGGGTTCCATCTCATAACCCTGAGATCATAACCTGAGCGGAAATAGAGTCAGATGCTCAACTGACTGATCCACTCAGGTACCTGTTGAGTCATTTTTTCTGAATGGAAGAATAATTGACTTTTTTGCAATCCCACTCATCTCGGGGTCCAACACTTGTTCATTCATTTGCTTTTAAAAGGAAGTCAGTGAAACATGCATATCTCCATGCACTTTAATTTTTCTAGCAGTAAGTGATCATTTATTCTTCGGATTCTTACAGGGCCTTCTACTTGGACAAGTCAAATTCACCACCAAACTCCACATCCAAAGCTGCCTATGTAGATAAGGTAAAAAGAAATGAGTGCTTTTTCTGATGTTTTGCCATTTACATACTTATCTTACTTAATTTTTCTGCTGCTGTTCTGTATAATTCTGCGTAATTACAAATATCTGTAGCCTCCAATTCCATCACCTCCACAACGAAAATATTTTAGACTATTCATTAAATGTTGTAACAGCTGTGAGTTGTATCCTATCTAAAAGGATTTCTTCCTGCTAGACATGTTGGACTTTATGTTGATCACTTTTTTTCTGCAGCTAATGAGGCCTCTCAATGCTTTGGATGAACTTTATCGACTGGTAGCCTCGTTTATCAGATCCAAGCGCACTGCGGCCTGCGCAAACACAGCCTGCAGCGCCTCCGGGGTGGGGCTGCTGTCTGTTTCCTCAGAGCTGTGCAACAGGCTGGGAGCTTGCCACATCATCATGTGCAACAGCGGTGTGCACAGGTATGTGAACTGGCCTGTCCTGCCTGCCTCTCTCGTGCTGAATTCACTGGGAGGTTCTTTCTTATGTTTTGGTTATACAAAATTAGAACCGGAAACATTCAAAGGACTCCGATGTATTTGGAATAAGATTTGGGAAACCAGATCGTTGTTACACAGTATTTTCTGGCTTTAGTTATATGTTCTGTGACTATTTAATCTACAAATGAATGCAATCCCACATTTATATCACCGTATCTTATCTGTCTAGAATCTTTTCATCCTTGCATTTATATTACAAGATTTATACTTTAGATACAAACTAAAGGAACTTGCCTGGTAGGAGCTGGCAAGTAGCTAAAAAAAAAAAAAACAAAAACAAACAAACAAACAAACAAAAAGCTTCCTTCTCTGCACTTAATGGACATTCCATCCTTTGGTGTTTGGGTTTCTATACCCAGTGGTTGTGAGGTAGGTGCTGCCTTGGGGTTACTACTCTCTTCCTATACTTGGCAAATTTACATCCAGGAGCCCATACAATATGCGTTCCTGAAAATGGAAAGGGAAATTTTAGGTGGGTCCAGTGCAAGTGATTTGTCTTAGACAAGTGTACTCAGTCTGGGGCATCCAAGGGAGGCTTATGAACTCCTACAACTGAGTCAGCTGTGAAATGGGGGTGGAAGAGCCCATGTCAAGTCTTTCCCCATAACCACTTGCTCCTCCTCTGTCTCCTCACCATTTTCACAAGGAAGTGAAACCATGTATTAACAATAATGAAGCAGAATTTGGTCCACATTGTAATCTGAGTGGCTAAATAATGTCCTGTCTCCCATCACAGCCTCTTCTTGGAACTGGCCCAGTTAGATTTTGAGGATGATAGAATTGTTTAGTCACATTTACTTGCTACATGACCAACACAGAGGACTGCAGTTGGACTGTCGGTCATGTAAAATCATAAAGTGATGATGCTCATGTTAGAGGCATAAGTACAGCATGAACAACAGACAACAAAAATAAGAAAAAGATATAATAAGATGATAACATAATAAAAAATAACAAAGAGACCTCCATTGCAAGAAAATGTAAGTGACCTAGGAAACTTACAGCTAAAATCTAAGATTCAGAAGGAAAACTGATCTCCGAGATGGGTAGAACTTTCCCTAAAGAACGTGATGTTTGAACTGACTTTTGATGAGTCAGGGTGAAGAGGTGAAAAGTAGGAGAAAAATGATCCAAGGCAGCAGGTTCTCATCTGTAAAATTCCATTTCGATTTGGTGTGCTGAAATACTAGTCTTCAGGTCCTCCACAACGTGTTCTTGCTTACGAAGTATGGCAAGACCTTATTCCTCTGAAAGGAGCATTATATTCTGTGGTTGACAAAGCATACAGATTTTTTCCTTTATTTTAATGGCTGTGTACTTTGTGCTCCATTGCAAGCTGTAATAAGCTTAATTGAAAATATCGTCTGCAACCAAATGCATAAAATATTTCATAATTTGTTTACTAGCAGAGAAGTGATCTCTCCCTTCTGATCAACTCATGTTCACTCCTTCTGTTCCCACTTATTCATTCACTCATTTATGTATTCATTATTCATTCACTCAGTAAATATGCATTGGGCACCAATTATGTGCCAGCACTGCTCTAGTTGCTGGGAATACAGCCTTGAAAAATTAAAGTCCCTATTCTCAAATAGTGTACATTGTGTTGGGGCAACATGATAACAACATAAATAAATATGTAATGGAGTAGATGGAATAAGTAGAAAAAAAAACAGAAGTCAGAGGGGTATTAGGTGACAGCATGGGAAGAAGGGGTAGCACTATCCAACAGGGGATTTCATCAGAGACTTGTATGAAATTAAGGAGTGATTTATGCAAATTTATGCTCTGAGAAAGAGCATTTGATCCTAAGGAGCAGCGGTGCAAATGTGAGAGCTCACATGGGAGCTCAAGGAACTGCACGAAGGCCATTGTGGCCTCAGTGAAGTGTCATGACTTTGATGATTGGTGTTCTTATCTTACCCTGGTGCAAGGTCATGGTTGTCTGAGGACTGGATATACTATGACCACGAAGGGGACACTTCGGACTTTGAAACTACAAGCACACTCTCTTACTCCCACATTAATTTACTGAAAGTTAATGCATCTAAATCTGCACTTAATCCTAGAACCATGACTGTCCTGATTATTCTCTCTGCTATCCCATGAGCAATTTTAGAATCTGACTTATGTTTCATAAGAGAAATAGATTGATGCCCCACAATTGTTTTGTAATTACCATATTCATTGATGGGTGTGTTGGGACCACAAGTAACATTGAAATTTCAAAGTAGTTTGCCTTTTTCTGTTCAAAATAAATGTAGCTTTAGTTAGTTCATTGCAGAGACATTTACTGAGATATAGGGACAAATATTCCAGGACAAATGCTGAATTTAAAGTTAAAACTATTTGAAAAAGGCACAGCTCTATTTTTCTATTATGGGGAATAAAATGGGAGTTTAACATTATCTTTTAATCTCTTGGTGAAGGCTGTGCTTACATTTTTTATGACAATAAAATGTGCTAATTTATTATTGGATTTAGAAATCTCATGTAAAGGCTGTTCTTAAAATAATTCCTTCATAATTAGAATTTAGACAGCCAGAGAGAAACCCAAGTAGATCCACACCTGCACTCAACATTAGACATGGAGATTTAGCTTCAGGTTCTGACAAGCGGTGAAGTCCACACTGTGAATCAGAATAAATATCACACAAACTATTTTTATCATTTACTTCTAAAACCCAGATGAGAAATGGTCAGTGCTATTGCATCCACATGAGATAGTCAATTTCTTGCCCTTTCTGATTTTATTTACAAAATAAAAGGAGAATCTAAAATATTTTTAGAGTGTTGAATGATACTGCATGTGTTTGATATTAAAGAGAATAATGTGGTTTTTCAGAATGAAAAGGCAGATTTAATTAGCATTAATGTCTAGATGTTTTAATGCCAACCTGAATTGGATGGCAGAGCTGTGTACAACAGTGAATGCAAGATTAGCAGGAATAGAATTCAGGATGAATTATTAAAATCTTCTCATAGCATTTAGCCTGGCTTTGTTTTTATTAAATTCTTTTCCCTAGGGAAGTCCTTTGTGTGTATTACAATTCTACTGATGAACTTCCCTGCCCACACTCTCTTAACGATTCACTTATGTCAGTGATTGCTATTGGATGGTGGAAGAACAGGACTGTCTCTTCTTAAAAGCAGGTTTTTGCCTTTTATACAGTATAAACTTGATATTAAAGGTAGTTTAACCAATGGAGCATTTTTATAATTTACTATCCTGACAAGCCTTCTTTCATGTTCATTTTGTGTCATCTTTTGCAGTTTTCATCAAACAACACACAATTAAACACTGTTTTATTAGTAAATATGGTTCAACAATCTGCTTTATGCTCATTACAACTATATCTGTTTTTTCAAAATGTACAATGTAGGTTTTCTCATTTTCACTTTTATTCGTTACATAGTTAACTGAACCAGTTGCTGTACCATAGTTTACTAAATGATTACTTTAGTGGTTTATCTTCCTTGTCCATTGCACATAATGCCTGCAGAGAGGCTGCTTTCATTATATAGCTGTTCAGATTTCAATTTTATTTTCCACAAAGTTACAAGAAAAAAAAATCCTCCAGATAGAAATACTATGTCAAAGAGTTTAAACCTTTGTGACCAATAATATATATTATTTAGGTTCCCAAAAGCTTCATCCTCATGTACAACACAACCAGAAGGTTAGGTAGTTATGAGGCACTTTGACCTTTTTCTGGTCTGCAGAGGGTATTTGAATCCATTTATGTATTGTGCTTCTCTCCTAGATGATATATCACCAGTGCTTTAGTTTATGCTTCTTTGACTAACAAATTCAAATGTTTGTACATTTGAATTAAAAATTCTTTGAATTTCCTTTTCCATGAAGATATATGCCATTCTACATACCTGCTTCATAGACAAAACTTGGTTTTTACCAAATTGAACATTTCTAAACTACTGAATCGGCTCGTGGCTTTTAAAGTTCTCTCACACTCCTGCCAGTTATTTGTTGCAAGCAATCCAAAAGCGTGCAAACAAGGATTCTAAATTTTCTTTTATTTCATACTGCAGCATCCTTCCATTCAATGTGGCATTTCATTTTGTTGTAGTTCTTTATTCCCACCCCAGCTTAACAGCCAACTGTTTTTCTTTAACCAGCATAAATCAGTATATTGCAAATGTTATAAAACAAGAATCATGGGTCTTACTGTGTCCAAAAACAAAGATGTCATTTCCTTCTCGCGATATTAGCTTATGCTTCCTTTGCCAGTGGGAACAAGTAGGTGGAAATTTCCAGAGGCTACCTGAAAAGGTAACTTCAAAGAAATTTCTCGTGAGGGCAGGAAATCCAGAATCACGGTTTTTCCCTCTAAGGACTTGTTCCAAAGAGTTTTTGTCCACATACTCTCAGTATCTTTTAATAATTGATCTTCACGGTGTTAGAACCTTGATATGGCCCTGCAGGAGGTTACGTGATTTGAGCATAGGCCTCACTCGCTCTGTGATGGCTTTGAACCTAAACCTTGGTGACCTGTACACACAAGTTATATTTTATCTTCACACTTTGTTATGAGGATGAATCTCTTCCAAGAAACAAGGTTCTGCATTTTAAAGTAACCTACCTCCTGTTCGCCCATCCAGTAGGGGGTTGTGAGCAGCACCACTAGGAGGAGCTTGTTGAATCCGGGGTTCACCAGCACCTGGCATTGGTCAGTGTCTTGTCTTCTGATTAGAACCCAGAATCTTGTGTGAGAAGGAAACAGTCTGTGGCAAGGCCTGCCTGTTCTCACTATTGAAAAACATTGATAAACATCAAGCTAGCTACCATCTGTGTATTACAGTGTTAGACTTTTTTTTAATACATTGCAGAAATTAGTTTTAACATATATAGAGTTTTAGGAACTAAAAGGCCACAAATATGTGAAGCTTCTAACTTTAGAGGG